CAATGAGGTGCTCTTAGGGAAGGACCCTGCCATGCACTGCTAAAAAAATAGGCCCTGTTCACCTCTCTCCTAGCCTTCTCCAAAGGAATTCACAGCCCTGCCAGGTGGCGTGCCCTGGGGAAAATGGTGATCAGACTTTCTGGTTTGTAGACACTGGCTCTGAGGCTAATTCAAGAGACCCACACGTCACGGCCACCTGCCAGTCAGGAGCAGAGGCTTTTAGCAGTCAGGTGATCAATGGGGTTAGCTCAGGTCAGCTCCAGTGGGTCTAGTGGGTCTCCAAACCCATTCTATTGGGGGGGTGGGGTTATCCCCAAACCCATTCTATTGGCGGGGTTATCCCCAGACCCGGAACATGGAGGAGACACGTAATTGAGTGTGACACCCAACGGGCAGGGCCACCTTACATGCTTGTTTACAAGGAGGGGTCTTGTGGCGTCTGAGGGGCTCAGTCAGTTAAGCGTCAACTCGGTTTTGGCTCAGGTCATAATCTCACTGTTCCGTGAGTTCGAGCCCCACATCGGCTTCCTCACGGATGGTGCAGAGCCTGCTCGGGATTCTCTCTCTGGCTCTCTCTAAATAAATAAATAAATAAATAAATAAACTTTATTTATTTTTATTTTTTTAAGGTGTATTTATTTTTGGTGGAGAGAATAGACAGAGTGTGAGCAGGCGAGGGGCAGAGAAAGGGAGACAGGATCGGAAGCGGGATCCGGGCTCTGGGCTGTCGGCACAGGGCCCGCCGCGGGGCTCGAACGCACCAACTGTGAGATCACGCCCTGAGCCGAAGTCGGACGCTTGACCGACTGAGCCACCCAGGCGGCCCTACATAAATATACTTAAAAAAATAATAATGACTCATGCGCAAGAGAGCCCTGTCGCCATCATTTTGTGTTCGACACGGTCTGTCTCGTCCCCAGCCGTTCCCGAAATGAGCTCTGGGCATTGGCAAACCGCCCTTTACTAGCAGAAGGAGGGGCTGGGGTGGCCTAGGACAGGGAGCAGGTCTCGGGAGCCGGGGTCCCAGAGCGGTGGGAGGAGTCGTTACCCAAAGCTGCCTGCGCCTGTGTGGAGCTCGACCCCCCGCCTCAGGCAAGGCCATGTCCCCATTTCGCAGATGAGGCAGCTGAGGCCCCGGAAGTTCAAGGGGGTGACTTTTCCAAAGTCAGAACAATGCGTTATATACTCTGGGCACTTGCCACCTGCCCCTGGCACAGGTAGCCATGAGGAAACACGCATACGTACGTATAGAGATTTCTTCTTTCAATATGTTTTACCAAAAAAGGCATCACATTCCTTGACCTTGCCTGCTTGTCATGGACAAGCTCCCCAGGCTGCATCGAATCTGGTGCCTTCTACCGTAAACAGAACACCGTCCAGCCCCACCCTCCTCCCCTTCTGCCACCGTCTGGCCCAGACACCCCCCTCCTCTAAATAATCTTAGCGGCTTGCCCCTTTCTCTGGTCTCTCCGCCTTCACCCTTTTGCTCCCCCGCAGTCTAAACGGATGGAGAGTTTTTAAGTATGTCAGATCGTCTCCCTCCTCCGGACAAAACCGTCCTACCACTCCCCTCTCCCTCACCGTAAAAGCAAAGTCCTCACGACAACCCGCACAGCCCCTGCACATCCCCACCACCTCCCTCGGTCCACCCTCCTCTTCATCTGCTTCGTGCTGGCCATGCTGGCCATGCTGGCCTCCCGCTGCCCCTTGCACATACCAGGTACGTTCCTGCCTCAGGGCCTTTGCACATGCCGTTCTCTGCACCAGGAATTGTCGCCCACTCCCCGTCTGTCATGGCTCACTTCCACCTTTCCTCAGGTTTAACTCAAATGTCACCTTCTTTCTCTACGAGCCCTTTGAAAATTACAACCGCCCCTCAACCCCCTTCCCAGATTTATTTTTCTTCTTGGTATCAGCTGGCATATTTGATATCTTATTTATTGTCTGGCATCCCACCAGAATGTAAGCTCCGGGTGGGCTGGGATGCTGTCTACGTTCCCTGCTGTATCCCCGGCACCTCTTACATAATAGAGGCTCAGCGAATGATTGTGAATGATGTGCTTCTGAACAGCTTTTTTCAAAATGCTTTTTTAAAAAAAAAGGTTTTGTTTTTTTTTTTTGAACAGCTGTGTAATAATCCCTGGTCTCTATCACTCAAATATGTCATAGACAAAGATTTGAAGGGAGACCTGACAGTGACAAATGACAACACTGATTTGACTTGGGGGATAAGAGTGTGACAATTATTTTTCTTGTATTTCTGTTATGTTGGTCGAGGGCCGGCAATTTAAAAAGAGTTCTTAAACACGGTGAGATGGTGGAGAAGCGCTGGACTCCAGAAACTTCTCATGGGCGCAGAGTGGCAGGCATCAGAAACACATACGGTTGGGGAAGGGACAGAGCCCCGCGTTGTGCTGCCCTCTGACTGGAGGCTGGTGGGGGCGGGCGTGATGGGACAGACCCGCTCTTCAAGTCACATCAAAGCCACCACTAGGGGGCAGAATTGCTCAAAGATGATTCTAACCATGGGGAGCGGACTGTGGCGAACCCAAGCAGGCAGAGAACAGACCTAGGTGCTCAGCGAATGATTGTGACACTTACTGAGCACCTAGTGTGTGCCTGCCTGAGGCTCCTCCCACTAAGTATCTTGCTTAATCTCCATGATTCCTCTCGGATGTCCGTACAAATAACAGGCCCAGGTCACGATCTGAACTCTGCCCTGCTAAGCTCTCTGAACTCATCTCCCATCAAGCCCCTCCTTGCTCAGGCTCACTCTGTTCCAAACCCCAGGCCTCCTTGCTGCTCCTCTAATGTCTCCGTCACACTCCTGCCTCAGGGCCTTTGCACTGGCCATTGCCAGTCCTTTGCACGCTTTCCCCCCCAAATACCCCCATCTTTGACTCCCTCATTTCCTTCAGGACTTTATTTAAATGGCAGTTTCTCACCAGGGCTTCCTTGATCTAACACACTATATTATCTACTTACTTGTTGAGTTTGCTTACTGTCCGTTTCTCCCTGTTAGAATGAATGCACGTTGTCTGTTTGTTCACTGCCGAGGACAGAAAGAAGCCAAGACAGGAACACAGGACAGAGGGTTACATTTGTTTGGAGTCCAGGGAGGAGACCTGGATCCTGACTATTCCACTAACTCGCTGTGCGGTCCTAGCCGGTCGCTGTCCCTCTCTGAGCCTCAGGACCCCTTCTGTTTACCAAGGACCTTGTTCCTGGTTTTCAATACAATGGTCAATGGACTGGCTCATAGCTGCACTGGAGGCCCCCACTGTCCCATCCCTAGTCCTTGCTCTGACCCTGGGAGCTTCTAGATTGTGTCTTTTATCTAGAGCTTCTAGATTGTTTCTTTTATCTAGGCCTGTGGGAAGTCTCAGTAAATATTCACTGAATTGGCAAACGAATGCGTGAATGAGTGCAGTCACTTCGCTTTCCTGAGCCTCAGCTTCCTCATCTGTCAAATGGGAATAACAATCGTCCCAGCCCCATAGGACGGCTCTAAGAATTAAATCATAGTAGGTGATCGATAGCTTCTGTCCGATAAGTTCCAACCTGCTTCAAAGCAGACCCACTGCTAGGGGCCCGGCTAAACAATACCTAACCTAGTGGGGGATTCTTTATCCCCACTGGTGCTGATTCTATAGCCAGCCCAGAGATTCTTAATGGACCCATTTCGCAGACAAGGAAACTGAGGCATGGACTATAAACTAATGTGTTCGTTTGATAAAGTATCTGCTGTACACTGACGTATATCCCTAGTATCTTCAACAGTGCCTGGCACATAGTAGGCATGAAATAAATTGCTTCGAATGAATTAACTGAGCACCTATTGTGTGCCGGGTATATACCCAAAACCACATGGCTAGTATATACAGCAGGGTCAGGACTCGAACCCGAGTCCAACTGTGCTCCTTCCTCCTGGGTCCATCCCCGAAGTCCAGGATTCTACCCAGAGGCCCCGGCGTCCTCCCGCCTCCAGGGCTGTGGGCAGGATCAGATCGCAGAGTGGTGTCTGAGCCTGAGTCACCGCCAAGGCGAGCACTCCTCTTGCTCTAGCCGACCTTAGCCCTGGGCCCCCGGCTACGTGCCTGCGGTTGGTGCCAGGAAACCTCGCCTCACCTGACCCAGAGCCCTGGGGCCACCAGGGTCAGCACTAGGGGCTGGGTGACCTTGCTATGACTGCCTGGCTGCTCTAAATAGTCAGTCAGGGCTTGGGGACTTGGGGGGAGGGGCAAGCTGGGCTCACCTGGTTTCCATGCCAACCCCACACAGACGAGAAGGGGCTCGGGTGCCTGTAGCGGGCTTCGTCTCCAGGCGGGAAACAGGGGACCCCACCAGGATCCCCGCACAGCTCACCCCATTCTGTGGTGTCCCGCAGCAAGGTGGGGACCCATTCAGCAGGATACTGTCACCTGTCTGAGCACTAAATCCTGGGCACCTTGTTTCCTGCCTGATGACAGCTGTCGGCGGGTGGGGCGGGAGGGGGCGGGCACCCACCAAGTCACCTCCGTCACCCGGGTCTCCTGACCAGCCACTCATTCACCGGTAGCCACAGGGTGACCCCGGGGCTTTTTAAGCTATTGCTAGAACAGCAGCTACTTTGACCTCCTGCTGGGAGAGGTCAACCCGTCCCTCTCCCGCCTCTGCTCCAGCTGGCACATCACCTCCCCAGAACCCCAGTGTTTCTAAAGAAGCTGAAAATCTGGAATTTTTATGGAAGGCCTCCCCGCACATGCGGAGTCGGTGACTAATTAAGCTCACGAAATACTAGGCAGGCCAAGAGACCGTGGGTCAGTCGTTTCTGAGTCTTCCCCCAAGATTCTATGACCTTTTAAATCTAACATTCCAGGACTCTGGGTCTTTGACTCCAGGACTGAGCGTGGGAGTTAAGACCACCTCTGAGCCTGGAGACCCGTACTGGTGGTGAGGGAGCTACAGGTGGGCGCCACGGCGGTCCCCGCGCCCTCCCACCCCCCGCCAGGGCCTCTCACTTGGGGAAGCTGCTGCCGATGAGGATCCGGCCCAGGGGGTACTCCTGGCCATCCACTGTGACGGGCGGGCTGACGTCCAGGTTGCCGAAAGAGTCAAGGCTAGAGGCACCAGCGAATAGGATCTCCCGGGTTACATATCCAAAGTCGGGACCCTAGGGGAGGACCAACAAGCCCCCCACCCCAGAAGGAGGGGTCAGTTAGGACAGGAAGCGACAGCTCTTGGCAGGGGTTGGGGCGGGGGGGGGGGCGATTAACGTCCAAGTCCACAACAGAATAACTAGAAAATCCCCAAATGCTGAGATCAGGCACCGCGCTTCGAAAGAACGCACGGGCCAAAGAAGGAAGCCAGGTGGAAACGAGGCAAGACTTTGAAGCGAGAGATGATAAAAGATACAGCACACTAGAACTTGCAGGATGCGGGTGAAGGTGCACCTGCTGGGGAGCCACCCGTAGGTCCGTACGCATAGGTACGGAAGAGGAGAGGTCGGAAAAATCTTCGCTTCCGTTTGCAGCTGGGAAAAGAACAGCAAATGAGACCCAGAGAAAGTGGAAGGGGGGACAGGGTAAAGACGAGGGCAGGGTGCCTGGGTGGCTCAGTGGGCTAAGCGTCTGACTTCAGCTCAGGTCGTGATCTCAAGGTTCGTGAGTTCGAGCCCCGCGTCGTGCTCTGTGCTGACAGCTCAGAGCCCGGAGCCTGTTTCAGATTCTGTGTCTCCCTCTCTCTCTGCCCCTCCCTGGCTTGCTCTCTCTGTCTCTCTCTCAAAACTAAATAAACATTTTTTTAAATTGTATTAAAAAAAAACGATGAGGGCAGGGATCAGTGGAGGAAGCCCTGGCCAGGTGAAGCCTGGGGTTGGGGTCAAGCCCTTGGTCGATTCAGAGTCACCCCACAGGGCTCATTGTCACCTGCGCTGGGACTGGTCTCTTGGCCCCTCTAGGCTGAGGTAAATGCCCCTGCTCTGTGTGCCCACAAGTTCCCGGGCATCTCCCTCCCAGCCCCCACCCTAACACGGGCATTGTCCTGGCGGTGGGGGTCTGGGAGTTGGTAAACAGGCTGCAGGCCTCGGGCCCACCTCGAAAGGCAGTTCAGCCTGGAAGTAGGGGTATGGAGACAGCCCCTCTGGTTTTGCACCTTGGTGCCATGGCTGGGTGGCATGGGGTCCGTTACCTAACCTCTCTGAGCCTCAGGAAAGAGGGGACAAAGACAGCAGCTAGCCACAGGACTGTGGATTGGATGAGTGACCGTGTAAAGTCAGGGCCGCACGGTTGCTGGGGCTGCTGTCGTCCCCAGCCTGCGCAGAAGAGGCCGCATGGGGCCTGGCACGCAGTAGGTGTTCAGAAAAAATGTGTTACCCCGAAAGAGGCCCCACCTCGTAAAAGCAAGAGTCATGAGGGCTCACTACTGGTGCATTTCCCCCATGAGGCGGTCTCCCCAGGACTGACCCCTCTGTCGACTCCCCAGTGGGGGAGAAGGGTTCCCCAGGACGACTTTGCTGGCCTGCCCCACCCAGAAGGGGAAGGAGGATTTGCATGTTGTTTGCATGCTATTTGCATGTTCTGTCCCAATTCCCCCACTGTCTCCCCGTTTCCCCACCACTTGTGTCCTTTTGGCCCCCGCTAAAGGACCAGGACCAGGGAAGACTGATTACAGGGTCCTATACAGAGCCACCCAAGGGACCTCCCCTCTGCCCTTTGCCACATACCAGGATCCGCTTGTAGGGGAAATGCTTCAGGCCTCTGTTTCGGGGAGAGTCAAAGACCACTGGGAAGGCCTTGTGAGGGGCCTCGGTGTAGCCAAACTCCATCTCGTCCTAGGAGGGGAGAGGAAGAGATCACAGTGGTATCCCCGGCGTGGTTTTCCTGACACGGTGAGCCCCACCCCTAGACCTCGCTCAGGGCGGTGCCACAGATTTCCCCCAAGACCTGGGGGCACGGGGGCCAGGGATGGAGGTGAGGCCTCTTGGGACTCCAACTGGGAGAGGACTCTGTCTGGGACCCGAGCATTCGAGGGAACAGGAGAGGGAGAGGGAACAGGCAGTGGGGAAGCGTTTACGGAAGCTGCCTGCGCCTCGCCCCGCCCCCCACCCCCCTGCCCTGACCGAGTCCTGGCTTCTCTAGGGAGACCAAAGCTGTGCAGGCTCCATTTCCCAAAGTCAGGGTGAAGGACAGGGGCTCAGGCCTCCCAGGCCACCCACCTGGATCCAGCGGTCATTTCGATTTTCAATCTGAGGGCAGATGATCAGCTTGCAGTTGGCTTTCAACGCTAGGTCAGACATGTCTTCCAGAAATTTCTTATTTGAGCCATGGGAGTCTACCACACTGCAAAACCCAGGGAGAGGGGAACGTAATGGTGACTTCTGGCAGTGGCCTGGGTCCAGTCGGCGCTGGGCCCCATGTGGCCCCTGGGTTTCGGGGTTCGAACACAGCCCCCGCCCTAGAGAAGGCAGGTGATGTCCCCAGATCATATCCGGTGGTAGGCGCAAGGGGCGGGGCAAGCCCAGGTGGGTGGAGCGCAAAGGCGCCCAGGTGGGTGGAGCCCAAAGGCACCCAGGTGGGTGGAGCCCAAAGGCGGGCCACCAAAACCAGGTGACAGCCACGGAGGAGATGGCGCCGGGGACTGGGTTAAGGTGGCAGCCAGGGGGCAGGGAGCCCCCTCTACTCCTGCCCCTTTGGCCTACACAAAGGAACCAGGGTGGGGTTCGTGAGCAAACGGAAAGAAAGAATTCCCCTCCAAACACCCACAGAGCAAACCTGTTTCTCTACACCATCCCAGCCTTGTGACTTATGTTCCAAGTCAGCTGCGGCCCTTCCCACTGGTCTGACCTCTGACACAGAGGCCTTGAGTGGCCTCTCCCATCAAGGCCCACCTGTCCATGAGGGGACTGACGAGGATTCTGGGCCACACAGGACTAGGATCCCAGGCTGGGCCGGGGCTTACAGCAGCTGGGTCCCGTGTTCTCCTCAGCCCCGCAGCACCCCACGCCAGAGCGAGGCTAGGACTCCCGCAACCCCCGGCTGCTCGAACAGGGCCTGGTCTCACCGCCCGGACTAAGTCTGAGCTGTTCCAGGGCTGCTACAGGCAGGACAGGGTAGAGGCAGGGGTGCTGAAGCTTGAGCCGGTGACCTCAGCTGGGGGCCTTAACCGACCGGCCCAAGCCAGCCTGCTGCTATCCCGTACCCAGCCTGTGCCTGTGGGTGCCCTCGGTGAATCCATCCAGTGAGTGAGGGCCCAGCCCTGGACACGGCATTCTGTTCCTGTCTCTACCGGTCCAGAGACGGTGGGATTGCGCAGGAGGGTGAGGCCTCACCTGCACGCGTACAGCTCCAGGGGGGGCTGGGTGTTGGGGGTCATGATCCAGGGGGCCACGCGGAAGGCCACGGTGTCTGTGAAGAGGGGCACCTCAGGCAGAGTCTGGGGGGGCGAAATGAGAACTAAGTGGGCCCTGCGGGGAGCCCCATCAGGCCTCAAGATCCCCCAGCCCCCAGCCAGCCCGGCCCCGGAGACTCCAGACTGGTCCCCCGAACCCTCAGCCCCCATCCCAGCCACCGGCACGGTTCCTACCCCCGTGTCCACCAGGCTGACACTGAGGGAGACCAGCCCCAAGAAATCAACGTCGGGGAAGGCGAGTCCCTCCACAAAGAAGCTGATCTTCCGCTCCCCCGGCTGCCGCTCAACTTCGTAGGACAGACGCTGAGGTCCCAGTACCTGCTTGTAGTCCTCAAGGGAAGTCCCACCTAGGGGGAGCCAGAGTCAGGGGCCAGTGCTGGGACAAAGGATGGGAGGAAGGACACCAGAGGCCCGGAATCCAGGGCCGAGCCGACTACACCTTCGTGTTAGATCTACTTGGCCGCTCCTCTCTAGCTCGGCCACGCGCAAGCTGTGTGACCTTGGCTCAGTGACTCAACCTCTCTGAGCCTCCGTTCCTCGCCTGTAAAACGGCTGGCAGCATCTCTTGGGATCAGCATAAGCTTTAAGTCAGATACAGGGATAAAAGCAGGCGCCACAACAGGTGCAAAACACCCAAATGCCCATCAACGGAGGAACGGGTGAACAAAATATAGTATGTCCACACAATGGTATGTTTTTCACCCATAAAAAGGAATGAGGCGCTGACACCTGCTACGATGCGGGCGAACCTTGAAAATATTATGCTGAGTGAAAAGCCAGACGCAAAAGGCCACATACTGGATGACTCCGTCGACAGGAAATGTCCAACATCGGTAGATCCGTAGGGACAGAGAGTGGCCAGATCAATGGCTGCCTAGGACTGGGGGCAGGGGAGGGGGAGTGACAGCTGAGAAGTATGAGGTTTTCCCTGGGGGGTGATGACCCTGTCTTGGAACTGGACGGGGGTGGTGTTCGCACAGCCGTGAGGACGTGTCAAGGGCCGCTGAATTATCCACTTTCAAATGGTTAATTTTGTACGATGTGAATTTCACCTTCATTTATTTATGTATTTTTACTTTTTTTTAATGTTTATTCATTTGAGAGAGAGAGAGAGAGAGAGAGAGAGACAGAGCACGAGCAGGGGAGGGACAGAGAGAGAGAAAGAAGAGGACACAGAATCCGAAGCAGGCTCCAGGCTGAGCCGTCAGCACTGAGCCCGACGCGGGGCTCGAACTCACAAACCGCGAGATCGTGACCTGAGCCGAAGTCGGACGCTCAACCGACTGGGCCAGCCAGGCGCCTCCCGCCCCCCCACCCAGCCCCTGCCTTCATTTATTTTTCAAAGTGCCTGGCCCACAGTACTTCTGTCCTGCACCCTTCTGTCCCCCCGGAAGGTGTCTGGGAAATGTCACCCTGGCATGCTCTCACTCACAGCAGGAAAGGCTATCCGTTGACTGACTGAGACTTTGCTCATGTTCCCGTATCACGGTGTTTCCGAGCGGGGCGTCTGCCTGAACTTCCACCAGGGGGACACGAGGAGGAACGTTCGGGCTCCCGCCAGGCTCATTCAGCCACAACAACAAGTTCTGGGTCAGTTTGAACAGAGGACGGTAAGGAGGAAGAGGGAAGGGAAGAGGAGAGACCTCTTGCCATTTATAAAAAGGAGTAAAGGCAGCTCAGGGTTAAGGTCACCCAGCCTGGACGGAGCTCACCCCGTGCTGACCGACTGGAGGAGGGGCTCTGGAGACCTGGGTTTGAAGCCTGCTCCACCCCAGTCGGCTGGGTGACCTGGAGACGGTGAATGCGCGCGCCTGAGCCTCAGTTGGCCCCCTCTGTAAAACGGGACTCGTTTCGGACCCTCCTTCTTAGGTAACATGCGGCGAACCGCTGGAAGATGTCGGAAGATGCCGGTTATGGAAGAGGCCGGAAGGGAGCGGGGATAGGGGTCAGAGAAGAAAAGAGCTTGGGAAGCAGAGAACGAGTGAAGCAGGGGGGAAAGCAGCCCCACCAGGCCACTCACCCCTAGCGCAGAAGACCCCCACTCTTCTGGAATCAGAAAACGGCACATCCAAGACCAGCTTGTGGGTGTCGAAGAGGCTGTCTGGGCCGTCGCAGCTCAGCACCATGGGGGACATGTCCTGCAGGTCTGGAGAGAGTGGCACCTGGAGACCACTCTCCCTGCACCCCACCCACAGGCTCCCCCCTCCACCCCGCAAGCCTCCACCACCCCCCCCCACCCACACACACACACACACCCCAGTCACACACCATCCAGTGTTGCCAGCTGGCTGTTGGTGAGGTCGGGCCCCGCGGACACGACACTGTCCCGGTCACAGTTCACCAGCAGGACAGCCCCATAGCCCTCAGGGCCCCAGCGCCAGGTTTTCTGTGGCAAAACAAGAGACTGGGGGGTCAGTGGGACCCAGATGGCCTGGGAAGGGGCTCTGGAGCTGGCTAGAGCTGGCTGCTTCTTTAAAACGGAGACTGCTGTATTCTGGGTTTGCTTAAAGATTTAAAGAGGCATCGTAGATGTGGGGACTGGCGTTTCAGGTGTCTAGACCCAGATCCACCCCACTCTTGTATAGTGAACAACCTGGGCAACCATACCCAGGGGCCTCACCCGGCCATTACACTGGAGGAGGAAGGGTGGTGTCGCCATATCCAGAAACAACCTCCACCAACCTGCTGGGTTTTGGCCCTGCCTGGGGGACAGAGGCTACCTCCCCCCGACCTTGATGGGGCTGGACAATCCCAGGGAAACTTTCTCCGTCTCAGCACTGTCCTGGGCCCTGTCGCATAGACATCTCTGGCACCTACCCTCAGTCCTGCAGGCCCTGCAAAGAGGTCTAAGCTGAGGTGGGAAAGATAGCTGGAGCCCCGCCTCTGGTCGCAGCTCTCCCTGACACACCTCCACTTAATGCCCACCAGACCCCACAAGGCAGGGCTCCCTTGCCCCATTTCACAGAGAAGGAAAGAAACGCTCTGGGAAATGAGCCTTAAGTCCCATAGGTCAGATTCAAACTCCTATGGGGAACTTCAGAGGGCCATTGCTAACCCATATGGCACTCTTGTCCACCTTTCTGGGTAAATGTTGCCCTGTGCTTGGGCACTAGACATGACTTGTATCATAGCCCCACTCACCCGCTTAGCCAAGCAACCTTGTGCAGTGAACAACCTGCGCAGCCATCCATGGCTACCCTTCCCCATCTTGTCCTCAAAGTCTGTCCCTGTGGCCCAGGCTTTCTCTCTAGGGTCTTTCCCTATAAACTATACCTTCTACCCTTCCAGGATGGCTTCCAGACACTTGCCCTGCGGTAATGTCTCGAACTCATGCCACCCTCCTCCTCACTCTCTGGGGTCTAACTGAGGCTGTCGCCCCAGCCTCCTCTGTCAGAAGCCTTCAGTCAGTCACTCAGCGACCTTTTATGAAGCACCTACCACGTCTGGGGGTCCAAATACAGCCAAGGAAATAGAAGGCGCATCAAGCAAAAGACCCAATCCCAACTCCAAAGTGGCACAAGAGAGGCTCAGAGAGGGTCTCACGGGAGTCACGCAGCATGTCGATCGCACGGTGGAAGTGACGCCCACCCGCGCCCGTTTGGCAGGTCCCCACATGGGTTCCCTATACTCTCGGCTACCACAGGCCCTAGGACCCACCACCCCAGGTTTGCCTGTCGACCGTGCCATCTGGGAGAGCCAGGAGACTGTCACCTTGTCGTAGTGGTTCCTCTTCACCTTGCCCGTGCGACCCGTGTCGACGTCCAGGGACACATCTGAAAAGGGATGGAGTGGGGCTGCCAAGGGCTCACCCGCTCCCGTCACCAGACCCAGGACATCCCGGCCGAGGCAAGCTTTGCTCATGAGACCCAGGAAGCCCTGTTCTGGGGACCATACCCAACGCCTGGGAGGCCGGGGGGCCGTGTGGCCGCGCCCCCTGGTTCTGGATATTGGAGGGACCCAGTCTCGGGCTCTTGAAGTGCATGCTCCGGGCGGCCCTGACTCTGGCAGTCGGGACGAGGCCCGGGTTCTAGGTGCTGGCTCTGCAGTCCTCGGAGCTCTGCCCGGGCTCTGGCCGAGGGCAGCTCGTGGCTCAGGGAATCTTGGGGTTCCGACAGCGTGACATGTGGGAGAAAGGCCTCCAGAGAAAGGAGGCCTATGGTGGGTCTAGCTGGTGACCTGTGGGCAGTGCAGTTTCTAGATTCTGGTGGCCCTAAGTCATCGCTGGGTCTCCGTCCCTGAGGTTCTAGAACGAATGGAAGGCCTCTGAAGAAGCTCCTTGCTGGTGGAGGAAGATGGCCATGGGCCTTGCACTGAGGGGTTCCCCTAAGACCCTCAGGGGGGCAACAAGGAGGGGGGAGGGGATATGGGGGAGCCGGGGGGGTGGGGCAGTACTTACCGACAGCGGTAAGGTAAAGCACGCTGTGGCCCAGGGCGCCAGCCTCCTGCCCCCCGAAGTAGGAGACCTTCACCTGTGGGGACATCGTCAGCCCTGAGCCAGCACGGCCACCCCTTCAGAGGTGGCAGTGGCAGAGGGAGTAGGAGGGACGGTCCTGCTGAGAGGTGGGGACCCCTGGGCACCCCAAGACGCCTCATCCCATATAGGTGGTCCAAGATTCACAGTCTCCCGGCTTGGACTCAGGGCTGCCTTCCCGGCTAGAGAGGCTGTGCCTGGCTCCCCGGTCCAGGGCCGGGCTGAAGGAGCAAGCAGGGCCCGGCCGTGCGGGGCGCATCCCAGAGGGAGCAACGAGACCCTCGGGAATCCGTGGAGACGTCAAAGAGGACGAGGGAGGGAAGGGGCCGCCAACGCCATTGACGGAGGCAAGTTACTCGGCCTGTCTAGCCGTCTGTGTCTTCTTCTGGAAAATGGGACATCCCCCCAATAAAGCCCATGGTCGGCTTCTCCCACGGCCCGAATCAGCATACCCAGAGCTCCCAGGAGTCCAGGCCCCCAACACGGCCCCAGGAGTCCAGGCCCATCCACGTGGGCCCTCGGCCTGCCCCTCCCCCCCTGCCAAGTGGCATGCAGCTAGAAAGCAGAGGAGGTAGGTAGGATTTGAACCCTTGGCAGGCTCCAGGGCCCCTGCTCTGGAGGGGAGAACAGCCGCACAGCCTCTGCCTCTTGCCTGTCGGGGAGAAGGGGCAGTCAGTGACCCAAAGTGGGTCACCCGTCGTGGCGTGCCGTGGGTGCCCGGGGTGAGTGATGGCAGTGACCCGCTGGCGAGAAGCCTTCCTTCTCCCTTCGCTAAGGGATACACACACATCCAGGAAGGCACCTGCGTCTGCTCTGCGCAGCAGCGTCGTGGGCCCATGGTGTTGCTGCGGGGTCCCGCCCGCTGGGGGGCTTGTTCCCGGTCTGTGTGTAGGCCGGGCACGGGCTGATGGGAGAAGTGCTTGTGAACTTGAGGGCAGCGCCAGGCTGGCTGTTTTATAAAGCGATCCATCCGCCGCGTGTAATGCGTGTGACGTTATGCGCGCGTGTCTGTGAGGTGTCTGTGAGCTGGATACGGGGCAGTGCGTGGGCGGAGGTGTCAGAGGGTGATAAGGCGGGTGGCGTTGAGCTTGCGTGGGGTTGGGAGATGCAGCCTCTGACTGTGGAGACGGCGAGGCGGACGGGGGGTACGCGCACCTTGAGATCATGTAAGGCCTTACTGGCCGCGTCCCTTGGTCTGGTCACAATGCATCCACGTTGGCGTCCAGGGGCCAGCTGGTCTTGCCTGTGGGCACCGTCACCGTGCTGGGTCATAGATCACGAACACCTCACTCCGGGGCTCCCGGAGACCCCAAGGTCTCGGCACCCTTGGGCACATCACTGATAGAAAGGAGAGAGGGCGGTTTCCGAAGGACTCAGGACGGAAGCTGCAGCAGGGTAGTGGGGCTGGGGCAGCCAGTTTTAAGCGACACAAGCCTCAGCACCCCCTAACCTGCCACTTGGTTAGGAGACCAGCCCAGCTGTGCATCAGCAGCCTGGACTCCATCCCAGCTCCCCACTGATTCCCCAGGACCCCGCCCTGGGCACCTTGTCCTCTGGCCTCAGTCTCCCCGACTGTAACCTGAGGGGTTGGAGCAGAGCATTGGCTCTAGTGACAGGGCCCCTTCAGCGGACCCCGGGTGGAATCCAAGAGGCCGCGGGGCATGGAGCTGAGCCACGGTTTGCTCCCACCCCTCAAGACGCTGACAGTGGTCCCCGAGGCTCCAGAGCGGAGACCCCGTAACCTCCCTGGGGCCACCCCACCCAAGGCTTCCCGTTCTGATACTTGCAAATTCTCCAACCCAACAGGGAACCCACTTGGCCATCCACCTCGCACCACCTGACGGCCGGGCAGCCTCCTCACTGGTCTCCCTGGCCCCACCCGTGCCCCCTCTGTTCCACACACAGCACACTTGAGCAGATTGTGCTGTTCCTTCGCTCAAAAGCCGTGGCTCCTGTCCCACAGTAGCTTACCAGGCCCCCTGTGATGTGCCCCCTGCCACCTCCCTGACCTTCTCCTCCCCCACTCTGCTCCCCCTCATCCTCTCTGCTCCAGCCACATTGACCTCCCTGCTGGTCCATGAAGCTGCCAGTCTGTCCTGCCTCAGGGCCTTTGCACTGACTGTTTCCTCTGCATAGGATGCTCTTCCCCCAGATATCCACAGGGCTCATTCCCTTACCCTCTTCAGGGTTCTGCTTAAAGGTCGCCTTCTCAGTGAGCCCCCATCACTCCATTTAATGCTGCACCTTGTCCCCACCTTCTCCCCCTCCACCCTATCCCTCTCACTCCGCTCTGATAGCTGGGCCCCAGGGTTCCATGAGGCTCTTGGCCAGGCGGAGCCCATACCCTAGAGGGGAAGTTGAACAACAGAACTATGCGTCAGTGTTTCTCCGTCCCCCTACATGTCAGGGCTCTTCCCTGCCGTTCCCCAGGACAGAGCCATCAGCCTCAAGGCTCAAGGTCAAGCCCACTTGCAGACGTCCACCTGTCTGCAAAGATGCTGGGCCAGAGGGGTCCTGCCTCTATCCTTTCCTGGGCTGCTGAGAACCCAGCCAGATATTAAACCCTCTGGAGAAACCAGACACCCCTCCGAAACCGCCACCACGGTCACCTGCGCCCATCAAACTGCCTCCATTGACAATGTTGATGGGGGTTGTAGTGATAAGAACCCCAAGTCCCACTCAGTGCCTGGCTCCCTGATGCTCAGCACGGCCCTGCAAGGCAGTTATCACTGTCCTCATTTCTCAGAGGCAGCCGGGACAGAGAAGAGACTGGAGCCCTGCAGGCCGCTGGCCAGACCCGCCCCCGCCACCCCCACTCGTCCCCATGAGCCATGGTACCTTCGGGAACCCCCATCTCGCGCGCCCTTCGTCCTCGTTTAAACAGTTAGCACGGGAACCCAAGTACCCCCTGATCTTCACCCTCTGATCTGACCCCGCCTCCCATCCGCCCCCACTCCCGGACCATCCCATGTGCCACCAGGTGTGCGGGGGGGGGGGGTGGTGGGGGGGGCGGCTCATCACGTCTCAGAGTGTTTCCTTGACCTTCCTGCAGCCTCAGAAACCTGCTCCCCACAGTGGGCAGCGTCCCCTTGCAGCCCTCTCAACGGTGGCCAGTTCCCCCTCACTCCCCCCCGACCGGGCCCAAAGGTGGGTGGGGGTCCTGCGTGCTCTTTCTTCCCTGTCACTTCCAGATCGTTGTCACTCTGCCCTCATTCCTGGAGGGGGCCGACGTCTGCCCCTACCTACAATTTCAGAAGCCAGGTGGGTGATGGGCCGGCACCGGGCATCCCAGTGCCTGACCTCCTTCCCCAGCGACCCTGTCCTCCACCCTCTCCCAGGGCAGACCCTAGACTTTGTCATCACTGAGAACTGCGCCCACCACAGACTCCCCTACCAGCAGCCCGGGGATTCCTCCTGCCCACCTGCCAGCTCCCTCCCCTAACACACCAGCCCCATGAAGCCCCCAGCTCCGCAGCCACTGAAGGGGGAGCCCTCACCATCCCCCCTGGGCAGCCTGTTCTCCCTCCCCTTCGCAGGCTTAGAGTCCCTAGCCTGTGTCACAGTCACTCCCCGGCACCGCTTGACTCTCTGCGCCCTTGCTCTCCATCCGACTGCCTAAGCACCGCCCCCGCCCCCGTCAAACTGCCTCCCTCCCCACTGTGCACCTGCACCCACACAGTTGACCACAGCCCACCCAGATTCGCCATCACTGTCCTCAAGGGACCCTTGTCACTGCCCAGCAGCCTTACAACATTTCTGGGGGCTGGACAGCCTGGGAGGGAGGGGCTAGGGTGTCAGGCCGATTTTGGGGTTCCATCTCCAGAGTTCCGGCTCTGAGCCCCGGGGCCAGGCTTTGGGGCCTGGGCTCTGCGTTCTGACGTCCAAGTGGAACCCGGGTGTGGCCCTAGAATGACCTGGTGCTCAAGATGGGGACAGGACTGGGCCGCCCCAAATTTCTCCCCCCGCTTCTTGCCTACGACCCATCTGCCTGAGGTGGAGGGGCCTTCGTCTCTTCGGCTCCCTTCCTTTACAGGAAAACGCCTCAGAAGTTGAGTGTGCTTGCTGTCCGACTCTGTCTCCCTGTGGTCCCTGTGACCTGCCACTAATCCGGGACGTAAATGTGGACTGATGTTTTCATTTGTGTCCAAGAAGAAAATGGAAGGAGGGGGCGCCTGGGTGGCTCAGTCGGTTGAGCGTCCGACTTCGGCTTTAATTTTTAATCTGCATTAATCTCCTTTCCTTCATCAATAAAGCAATGAATGTGAGTCCTGGTTTGTAGCCTTTGCCAATTTCTGTGGTACAGAGGCTTCCAGCAACAGCCACATTCAAGTTGCCAATGTAACATCAATGAATTCAGAGTTGCAAAGAAATACACAATCACGCCTGATGTGTAACTAGTTCTCCCGGACGGACGGACGGAGGTGAATGATGTCGGGGCATAGATCGCAGTAGAGTCCAGTAACATCGTAAGGAAGCGGTGCGTTTTGAGTTGTTACCGTTGTTTTAAATATGCTTTACTTGATTGCAAACATGTAGAGTTTCATTTTAAATACTGTCATGCCTGTGTTTAGCAGCAGGCTGGTAAACTTCCTAAAAATGGGCAATGAGGTGCTCTTAGGGAAGGACCCTGCCATACTGCTAAAAATAGGCCCTGTTCACCTCTCTCCTAGCCTTCTCCAAAGGAATTCACAGCCCTTACCAGGTGACGTGCCCTGGGGAAAAGGAAATAATCAGACTTTTCTGGTTTTAGTAGACACTGGCTCTGAACTGAGGCTAATTCCAAGAGACCCACACGTCACGGCCACCTGCCAGTCAGAGCAGAGGCTTTTAGCAGTCAGGTGATCAATGGGGTTAGCTCAGGTCCAGCTCCCAGTGGGTCTAGTGGGTCTCCAAACCCATTCTATTGGGGGGTGGGGGTTATCCCCAAACCCATTCTATTGGCGGGGGGTTATCCCCCAGACCCGGAACACGTAATTGGAGGAGACACCCAACGACAGGCAGGGCCACCTTACAGACATTCCTATGAGTGTGTCCCAGGGGGCTCCAGCCCACCTGGCCCCAGGGCTTGGTGCTCAGTCCTCTCTGGTGACACTCATCCCCTTGGTGATCTCCACCTGCCACACTGAGATGCTTAGAAACCCCACTTTCCGTCTCCAGACCCTTATAGTGAACTGTTTTTTGAACATCTCCCTTAGGTGAGTAACAGGCATTTTAAATTTAATGTGTCTGTATATAAGCATAAAGGGAACAATCCAGCAAGAAGATACAATGTTAAATATTTATGTCCCCAACATGAGGGCACCCAAGTACATGCAGCAGCTAATAACCAACATAAAGAAGGTAATTGATGGTAACACAATAATAGTAGGGGACTTTCACACCCCTCTTACACCAATGGACACATCATCCAAATAGAAAATCAACAAGGCAACAGTGGCTTTGGATGACCCATTGGACCAGATGGATCTAACAGATATATTTGGAACATTCCATCTTAAAAGAGCAGAATACACATTCTTCTCAAGTACACGTGGAACGTTCCCCAGAATAAATCACATATTAGGCCACCAAACAAGCCTCAACAAATTCAGAAAGACTGTAGTCATACCATATATCTTTTCTGATCACAACACTATGAAACTAAAAATCAACCACAAGAAAAAATCTGGAAAGAACACAAATACTTGGAGGTTACATAACACACTTCTAAACAAAGAATGTTTCAATGAATGAAACAAGAAATCAAAGAGGAAATTAAAAAGAAATACCTAGAGACAAATGAAAATGAAAACACAACTGTCCAAAATTTTCAGAATGCAGCAAGAGTGGTTGTAAGAGGGAAGTTTATGGCAGTACAAGCCTCACTCAAGAAGCAAGAAAAATCTCAACTAAACAATGTAACCTTACACCTAAAGGACCTAGAAACTAAAAAACAAACAAAACTCAAAACCAGTAGAAGGAAGGTAATGATAAAGATCAGAGCCAAAACAAAGTAGAAACTAAAATAACAATTGAACACATCAATGAAACCAGGAGCTGGCTCTTTGAAAAGATCAACAAAATTGATAAACCTTTAGCCAGACCTAAAAGAGAGAGAGAGAGAGAAAACTCAAATAAACAAAATCAGAAACAAAGAGGAGAAATAACAAGGGACACAACAGAAATACAAAGGATTATAAGAGAATATTATGAAAAATTACATGCCAACAAACTGGAAAACCTAGAAGAAACGGATGAATTCCT